CCCCGCTTCCTTCCTCCCCAGCCCCGTGCCAGCCTCCTGTCCCTCCACTGCCAGGCTCTTTCCACTGCAGAGCCCTTGTCGCTGCTACCCCGTCCACCCAGAGCCCTCTGTCCCAAATGCTCGTGTTTACCCTTTTTGCTGTTTATTGTCCGCGTGAGCTCCACGGGGCTCGGGGTGGGGGCCCCTCTTCTCCAGGCTTCAACCCCCGGTCCTAGGACAACGCCTGGTACAGAGCAGGGCCCCAGACAGCTTGTGAACGAATGCAGCAGAGCCCTTGACCCTGAGGGGGTGGCAGGCGTAGTCCTGTAACCCACCCCGCAGGGCCGCCGGATCAGCAGGTGTGACCGCGGGCGCCCAATCAGACTCGTGCTCCAGATGAACCGGGGAGAAGGCTTTAGCACGAGTGTCTCATGCAGGGTTTACCGGGCACCCTGTCTTTTATCTGGCAACGCTACCTTCCCCCACCTTTGTTTAATTTTATTCATTCCCATAGTTGAAAATTCAAAAAGCATGAAAGGTGTGCTATAGAAAGTTTTTCGTGCATCCCTGTTCGCCGCCGGCACGTCCCCCGTGACGGGGACCCGTGTGGTGAGAGGTGTCTGTGCGCATCTAAGTAGAGGGCGAAAGACTCCTCTGGCCTCTTTGCTGAGCTGGCGGTAGCGCCTCCACCAGTGTGAACTTTGCTTCACCAGCGACGTAACTTGGAGACCTTGCCTTCTGCGCACAGAGACCACACTGATCTCTTCTCATGACTGTGCTGCACGCACCGTGCCGAGGCGGGGTGGGGAGGTCCTTTCCCAGCTCTGGCTTCTGTAGGCTTACGTGTGTGTGAGGTGCCCCAAGGGGTGAGTGTCCAGAGGTGGCTGGTAGGGGGCCCGTGGCCGGTGCAGGTTGCAGGTGCCCTCCCTGGGCCCTGCTTCTGAACAGATGTGTTTTTGCTGAGAACTGATGGATCTTCAGGACCCATTTAATTTTTAGGGACAGTGTCTGGCTTCCCTGCCCTAAGAGAGAAGTGGCAGTGAACTTGAACTTGAAGAGCTGGCTGCCGTGTAGGCAGAGTTGCTGATGGTGGAGAGGGAGGCAGAGAAATGTGACCTCCCCAGACCCCCAGGGCAGGTCACTCACCACAAGGCGCAGCTCACTCTCAGGACCCTGGGACTCTCTTCACAAGGACTGAATTCCATGCCATTCCCTCTGGCCTGGCAGACAGACATGGCTCAGAGTTTAAGAATGTTTCTATCCTAGGAGGAGGCAAGAAGTTTCCAGGAAAGTTGCTGCCTATGGCTTAACGAGTGTTTGTGGCAGTAGGTGTTGGTCTGTGTGGGTGTTTGTGGGAGCCGCCAGAGACTGGGACTCCTGCAGGGCAGGGCTGTGAGGGGATTACGGGGACTCACCAGGCCTTGAGATGGCCTGAGCTTGTCCCTGGTGGCCTTGGGGGTCTTCCTCTTCCCTCCCCGTTTTCCAGTCCTGTCCAGCCTCGCCAGCTGAGGATGGTCCCAGGCGGGTTGTTGTTCTTGGTGGGGGGGTTGGGGGGGAAGGAGGCAGGGCTGGGCCCCTCCTTCAGGGCCTGGCTAAGCCACCATGTCTCTGGCATGGCCGCGGCAGGCTTGTGGCAGATAGTGGGCCCATGCTGTGGTTTGGGGGCTGTACGAGTGGAACTCGCTGGAATGCTGCCCCGTGGGGAGCAGCCCTGGGTTGGCCAGCATTCCCCTTCCTCCTGTCTGCTCCCACACGAAGGACGTGTGCTGCCACATGTGGGTGGGCAGGGCAGGATGCCTGTGGTTTCTTCCCTGGGTGCCATCTCCCTGGGGTGCGTCCACCGGGAGGGGCCGATGGGCTTTCAGACCCAGGGAGCTTCAGGGGCCAAGTGGGGCCTTCGGGCTTGGGGCCTGACCCCACCTCTTGCCCTGGGGAGGCAGAGAAGAGCCTGAGGGGCTGTGCACAGTTGTGCCTGTGGCAGGGACAGGGCCCCGAGCTGGGGCCTCCCCGGAGCCCAGCCAGGGAGAGCACTGGGCTTCCACCAGTCCCCGAAGGGCTGCGGACCCAGCAGCTGTTTTGCCATTTTGCCTTTTCGCCAGATGGGCCAGCGTTCTGGGCAGCGTCGCGTTTCTGGGGGAGCGGGATGGGGGCGGGCCGTTCCCGTGCTGAGCGGGGGGGGGGGGGACAGGCCGTGTCTGCGTCTGCCCGCAGAGCCAGCAGCCGCCCCCGCCCAGCCTACACCTCACCAAGTCCAAGGGGGACGCGACCCTGAAGATGCGGGCCTCCGTGCGCATGACCCGCTACCTCGAGTCCTGGGGGGCGGCGCGGCCCTTCGCACACCTCAACCAACGCGAGAACGTGAGCAGCAATGAGACCCCTGTGCCCCACGGGCGGAGGCCCAAGGTAGGACCCCTCCTCCCAGAGAGCTGGGAGCAGGGGCCGCGGGCAGGGGCGGGAGAGCACATGCTACGGGTGTCCTTCCGGCCAAGCCTCACTTTCCACATCTGCAGGATGGTTCCAGGCTTTGCCCTCCCTCGCTCCCTCCTGGGGTTGGGGAAGTGAAGGCATTTCGAGAATGCTCCAGGGTGGCGGGGGATGTCCCTGGCCTCCTGGTTCTCCAGACCAAGTTCAGTTTCAGTTCTGGGTGCCTGCAGCTTGGACAGTCCTTGCATCCGAGAGTGCCGGAGTTGATAGACCCAGTCCGGTGAGGCGCATCAGGGCCCCGGGTCCTGGAGAATAACCGTCTCCCCCTCTCTTCCCTTCCAGGCCATTCCCCTACGGCGCCACCGGACCCCTGACAGGTTTGTGCCCTGTCCCCTGCCTCCCCGGCCAAGTCCTGCCCCAGTCACCTCCTCCAGGCAGGCTGCCCTGACCAGCCTCTGTCCAAGAAGGCAGCTCTACAAGGCCCAGCCCTGACTATGGGTTTCGCCACGGCTTGGGTCAGAGTGTTTTTAGGAACCAGAACTTCACAATGATCGAGTGGCTGTTGTATACCCACCCTGTAGTGGCGTCAGTGGGGTTGGTGTGATGGAACCCTGGGGTTTAGTGGAAGAGACCTTGGACCGGGGCCTGGGGGGTCTGTCTGCCCTTTGCTTCTGGCTGGGCTGCTGGTGGCTGGGTGATGCTGGGCCTTCGCTTGTCCTCTCTGGGCCTCAGTGAGACCCGCCTGTCCCTACCCCATCCTGCACGAGGCTCTGGGACCTCCTGCAGGCACCTGGGAACCCCACTTGGGTGAGTCATCTCGTCCACACCCCTGCCTCTGGGCAAGTAGATGTAGGTTCCTGGGCTGATGCCGTTGCGGGTGTCTGATTCCAGAAGCGCGTCCCCCAAGGGGCGGTCAGAGGATGACTCATATGATGATGAGATGCTGTCAGCCATCGAGGGCCTCAGCTCCACGAGGTGAGGCTCCGAGACGTGTGCTCGCCTTGTGCCTCATGCCCAGTGGCTGTGTCCGTGGTGCTGCCTCCTGAGGGTGACCCCCCCACGCCCTCCCCCCGACTCCTCCAGGTGCCACCTCTCACTGCCTGTGTCTCCGCCCCACAGACCCTGCTGCTCCAAGTCTGATGACTTCTACACCTTTGGGTCCATCTTCCTGGAGAAGGGCTTCGAGCGAGAGGTGAGGACCTCTGAGCAGCCCCAGAAACAGGGGCTCCAAGGCCTGGGGTGGGGGGCGGGTGCTGGCCGCAGGGCAGCCAACACCCCCAGAAGGTCTGCTCAGGGAGGGCGCTGGGGAGTCGCTCCAGCTGCCACTGGGGTGGGGACGGGGCTCAGTGCAGCCTGTTTGGGTTCTCTTATTGGCCTCGCCCCTGCACCTGACACCCCGCCGTTAGTGGTTCCCCGACTTGGGTTTGGGAGACTTTGCTCCCTTCAAATGCCAAACCTCAGCCAGTGCTGATAGGGGCCAGCGTGCACCTTTGGCTCTGCACTTCTTAGGAAAAAGCCCCAAACTCAGTATCAGTTTGACAGGGCCTGACCGGTTCCCGCTTCTTGCTGCTGTAACACCATGCTTGTGTCCCACTAGTGACCATTCACTTATTTTTCGAGAGCCTCCTGGTTCTGGCAACGTCCAAGGCACGCGTGTGTCATTCTGCCCTCACCTGCAGGCCAAGGTGGGCGACGGTACCCATGTCACCGACCCCAAGGTTTGGGGCATCTTGGCCTCAGGTGTGGCCTGAGAGAGTGACCCAGCCCACGGCCCTCTGGTGCTGGGACCTCTCTGCCGCTTCAGCCTCCAGGACTGGGGGGCTCCCTGTATGGGGAGCTTGGGGTCTGGAGGCTGGTGTGGTCACCAGGAGAGCCGCCTGGAGGGCCACCTGCTGGCCGTGAGACCTGGACAGGCTGCCGGGCTCCCTGAGCCTCGGTTTGCTCATCTGTGGCAGGAGCCCTGTGGGCTGAGATCTTGAGATGGTGCCGGGTGTGGCAGGGCGGGCAGCACGGGTCCCCCGCCTGACGGCTTGGGGCTCAGGCCTGGCCGTGCTCCTCGGTTTGGGGTGAGAACAGAACCCCCACTAGCCCCAGTCGCAGCAGCCCCAGAGCTCTCATTTGGTTCTCGCCCACGGACTTGGTCTATGGGCTTTACAGGGACCTTGGAAATGAAGTCGGAGACCTGGGCGGGGTGGGGGAGGGGAAGGTATCGCCTCTAAATATAAAAGAGAGACTGCAGAATGGAAACAGATGAAAATTGTTTGTTCGTGATGATGTAACAGTCAAGGAAGGGAGGAAGTCAAGGAGGGGGTGTAAGGTTTTTCTTGGAGATGATTAACTCGAGCCAGGGTGGAGCCCAGGAAGGGGGTCAGAGCAAGTAGCCTGCCCTGCAGGCGGGGCCTCGGCTGCCCGGCCACCCCTCAGAGTCTCTGTCGCCCCCAGTACCGCCTGGCACCCATCCCGCGGGCCCGCTACTACTTTGCTTGTGCCGGCCTTGTGTTCATCTGCATCCTGCTCGTCCATGCCCTGCTGATGCCCAGGTCAGTCGGGGGGTGGGCCGGATGGTCAGGCACACTGGGGTCAGGCTAGGAGAGGTGGTGACCTTGCAGATCCCACCAGACCTGCAGGAAGGGGCTGGCTGTTAGAGTTAGTACCTTTAGTCCCTTTAGGCATCAGAGCCCCAGAAACTGGACCTGGCACCGTGGCCCCCACAGCTGGAGTTGCCAACGTTTAGTTTTAGTTTTAGTTGAACATGCTTGCTCGCTCAAGCCGCAGGCCTCCCCACTCCCAGATGCCTCTTGCCTTCAAAGTCACCTGTTTTCTGTATGGCCCTTCAGGCATTTCAGTTTTTTGTGACTGTTGCCTTAGGTGTTTGGAGTCCTAGAAGGGCAGACTCCTAAAACCGTAGCTGCTACCACCTCCCTCTTAGGTGTGGGAAATTGAGGCCCGGGGGGCTTAATGCCTTATCCAGGGTGTGTGGCCAGTACACAGGAGCCGCTGAGATTCACGCTTCTGTGAAAGGGCTCTGTTGCTGGGGGCGGGGGCAGGGGGCTGAGGTCACAGGGAGGTAGGAAGGTCAGCCAGTTGGCGGCTTCTGGAAGGGTAGTTAGGCCAAAGGATCCACTAGGATCGTGGTTCGAGATGTGCTTAATAAAGACGAAATAGGGAACGCTTTTCGATGGTGCTTGTGTGCCGGGCAAGAGTCTGAAGGCTGTATAATCAGTTATTTCTTGTGTACTTGGCCCGGAAAGCGGGGTGTGATGTTGGCCTTGGTCCTTGTGTCTCGGCCAGGCCTTGTGTGTCGTTCGTGGGGCAGCTGGACCACGGGGTGCAGTGTGCCCCTTTGGCTGAGTGCAGAGTCGCCGTTTGGGACGGGGAGAGGGAGAACCGAGGCGCTGGGGCTGGGGTGCATGCCGGTGGCTTGGCCTGGGGCGGAGGGTCCCCCAGAACTTAGGCTTTTCCTTCCTCTCCAGGATGGCGGCTCTGGGTGTGTCCTTTGGGCTGGTGGCCTGTGTGCTCGGGCTGGTACTAGGCTTGTGCTTTGCCCATGAGCTCTTGGTGAGTGGGGAGGCCCCTGACCGGGCGGCGGGCAGGCCGGGCCCCCCAGGTGTCGGGGCTGTGGTGGTGCGAGCCCCGGCCCTGTGACCCCCGCCCCTCCGGCCTGGAGCACGGTCCGGAGGCTCCTCCCAGGGCTCTCCGTCCTATGTGCTAGTAGTCCGCAAGTGGCTGTGGCTGACCCCAGCCCCAAGGGTGGGGCTGTCCCTTCTGTCTACGCACCACACGTGTCCTGAGCTCTGGGCCGGGCGGGCACAGCACCCCTCCCTGACTCCCCAGCAGAGCTCTCAGAAGCTCTCGCTCTGCTGGGCCCTGGGGCTGTGGGCCCCCGGGTCAGGCCTTCTGCGGGCTCTCCCCCCACCTCGGGTGTGGGTGCTGGGTGATGACACTGTGATTCCGCAGAGGTGCTGCCCAGCCCGGGGCGCGCTCCGAGCCATCTCCGAGAGGGTGGAGACGCAGCCCCTGCTGCGGGTGTCCCTGGCCGTCCTGACCATCGGCAGCCTGCTCGCCGTCGCCGTTGTCAACCTGGTGGGTTCTGCGGCGAGGACGGCAGGCTTGGCAAAGACCCCTCGGGCCGTGCACGCTTCCAGGGAGGAGGGAGCAGTCTTTGACCCTGGGGACCTCCGGATTCTAGAATCCTATAATCCTGTTGCCTAAAAGCCCATCTGGTGTGGCCGTATCCAGAGCCCTGTGAGGTTCCTGTGGCGGCTCTGAGCTCCTCACCCTGTGTTTGTCACATGAGGACTTGGGGCCCCCCAGAGCGTTCACGTGGCCGACCCCACAGGGCCACCACGGTGCCCTTGACATCCCGGTCTTTCTTTCCAGCCCCTGAGGAGGTCCTGTCTCAGCCTCTCTGGGACCCAGTCTCCTCGCTGGGGATGAGCAGCCCTGGGCGCAAGCTGGAGGGGGCGCCTGGGCCCTGCTTCTCGGGCCGGGCTTGTGTGCTTTGGGCTCAGACAGCGCTTGTCCCACCCGGACCTCCCCTGCTCCGACATTTAGAGCCAGCGTCTCTCCCCTCTCCGTGTCCCCTGCACTAGGGACTCTGTGACCACCTCCCTCAGCGTCACCTGCGGAGAAGGGGGCTCACTGAAAGCGCTGCTCCCAGCTTCTGCCCCCGCCCCGAGTCAGGCGCTGGGGTGGCGTCCCTGTGCCTTCCTTGGGCTCCCTCGTCCCGCAGTGAAGCTGCCAGCTGTGGTGGGATGTCGGGGGCACAGAGGCTCCGGCCAGGCTTAGAGCCGGGCCTGGCAGGAGATGCCCATGGTGCTCTCGGAGGCCCCGGCCCTGCCCTCTGCCCCCTCCAGGTCCCCAGCCCTGCCCATCCGGGGCAGACCCTGGAGCCCCTGGACCACCCCTCACAGGTACCTGTCTTTTCCGTAGCCGCTGATGCCTTTCCCGGCCCCAGGGCTGCCTGCTGGGAACGAGACGGGCCCGGGGGCCGTGAGCAGCTGGGAGAGGGCCCTGTGCAAGCTCCTCCCGGTGAGTGTGTCCCTCGGGGCTCCTGGTGCCCTCACTCAGACTGCCCCTGCGTGCTCAGAACACACTGAGCACCGGAGTCCATGGGCATGGAAGAGCCGAGTCCCCTGCTCCCAGGCGAGGCGACAGAGCAGGGCCGGGTGGGGCTAAGGGGTCCAGGTGCTGGCGCCTGGGTCCAAGGTGAGAGGGTGGGAGCGCCCTGTGCTGGTGGTTGTCTCCTGACCACGCTCGTCATGATCTCCACTTCATGGATGGGGAAGTGGGCGCAGGGAGGCTGACAGATTTGCTTCATGGGCGGTGGAGCCAGGACTGGGCCCAGGTGGGCTGACATCAGAAGCTGTGCCTGGAGCACCCTCCCGGACAGGATGAGGGCTGTGGGACTTGAGGGGCGTGGTGGTGAATTTGAGCTGGTCTCTAAAGGGCAGAAAGGTTATGGGACCGGGGTTGCAAGAGGGGACAGCGAAAAAAAGCCAAGGCAGGTAGTGGGCACAGTTGGTTTCAGGTGGTCGTGTCACGGGGAGGGGGTGGGGGAGGATTGGCAGATGAAGCCAGAGGTAGGTTAGATCCAGCTCCAGTGGAGCATGAGTGCCAGGGTGAAGAGCTTGGTCTTTATTCTGGGGGCAGTAGGGAGCCACAGCATGCTCTTGAGCAGGAGAGTAACATGGGCAGAGATGCACTTTGGGAGGGACTGGCTCATGGCAGAACTCAGATCACTGCCTGGACCTTGTCACAGCCTCCCCAGCACCTGCATTTTTATTTACTGCGTTTCTTTTTCCTTGAGTTCACTTGCCGTAAGTGGAAGTAAAAATATAGTAAAAACAACACAATATAGAAGGTTTCAGATTCCGTTGCCTGCTGTTCGTTAAGGGAGGTCAGTGAGGCAGGAGAGTGGTGCTGAAGACACACTGGATCTTCACGGATTCCTCTGTGGCTAAAGGTGTCCCTCCCTTGGGTGACCTCTGATCCGGGAGGTGCCTCTTGGTGACGGGAGATGGTGGGGTGACCGACGTTCCCGTCTCCCCAGTATTACACCTGCAGCTGCATCCTGGCCTTCATCGCCTGCTCTGTCTTCCTGCGGATGAGCCTGGAGCTGAAGGTCGTGCTGTTGACAGTGGCCTTGGTGGCCTACCTGGTGCTCTTCAACATCTCCCCGTGCTGGCAGTGGGACTGCTGTGGCCACAGCCTGGGCAACCTCACCAAGACCAATGGCACCCTCAGGTGGGGCCCAGACCCCACGCTGCCGGGACCCCTGCCCAGTGCCTGTCTCGACTGTGGCCTATTGTAGCACTTTTTGTCTTGGCTCAGTGTCATTTCAAACTAAGGTGCTTTTGCATTCACAGTCCCCTCTGGACCGGACACCTTGTGGGCTGGACCGGCAGGTGGCATGGTTTCCACTTTACAGAAGGGGAAGTGATGGGCTCAGGCCCTGGGTCTGCAGCACTCAGAGCTCAGTGTGACTGATTTGCAGGGGGTGTCCCCGGTCCCCGGAGGCCACCTGGGTGATCCTGTCTCTAGGCCAGCCTGGGGGTGGGAGGCGGAGGCTTCAGCTCTAGCCCAGTCCCCTGCTTTGAGCCATGTCCTGGGTCTCCAGAGCTCTGGAGAGAGCAGTTGGCTCTGGTCTATTCCCAGACTGATGTGAGGGGCTGGCGTGTGCGTGGTTCTGGGGGCTCTGGGCCTCAAGTGGATTGAGGAGCGGGGGCCTGGCTCCCCTTGAGCTAAAGGGCAGGAATCTGGGGACCCAGAACGAGGTGTGCTCCTGTGGATCTGGCTTGCACCTGCACATTGCTTCTGCCGACCTGCAAGCCTTGCTCACCTCGAGGAGCTCTGGCTGCCTGTGGCCGCTCCCCTGCCTGCCTAGAGTGCTTTCCTTCAGACTTCGCCATGACTGTCTCCTGAGACCCAGGTGTGAGCTCAGCTGTCACCTCCCTGTCAACTGTGCTTCCCTCTTCTGTACGGCCTGAAGCGTCCTGTTTGCCAGCCCTGAGAACGTGAGCCCCGAGGGCAACGATCTCCCATCTTGTTCACTGTCCCGTGGGCTGGCCCTGCGTCTGGGCCTCGTGCCATCCCCTGAACGTGGGGGGCTTTGGGCGGAAGTGGAGATGACGCCTGCCTTTCCCCTCATATCCGGCAGCTCCCCGTCCTGTTCATGGGATCTGAAGACAATGATCAATTTCTACCTGGTCCTGTTTTACACCACCCTCATCATGCTCTCCAGACAGGTACGGCCCAGGAGGCAGGCGCCCACTGCATCCCTAGCTCAACCTGGCTGCTTGTACCTCTTTCTGGAGAGGCCGGGGGTGGGGCTGGGGCTGCCTCAGATTTGGAGCAGCACACAGGACTGCAGTCTTTCGGGGAGCTCTGGTCCCTGGGTCGGGGTCCTGGGCAAGTGTCCTTACCTCCCATCAGGACACGAGTGCCATTTAATCCTGTGGGTCACTTGGCTGACTGGGGTGCGGATGTTGAGTTGGGGACATTTGCCAGGGGCACAGGCTGGAGTGCTGATGGGCCGGCTCCGTAGCCCCCAGGGTTACGAGTGCGCTGTGCCCCCGCTCACTGCTGCCGGGACGCCGACGTCCCCTTCTGTCCGCAGATTGACTATTACTGCCGCTTGGACTGTCTGTGGAAGAGGAAGTTCAAGAAGGAACACGAGGAGTTTGAAACCATGGAGAATGTGAACCGCCTTCTTCTAGAGAATGTCCTGCCAGCGCACGTGGCCGCCCACTTCATTGGTGACAAGTTAAATGAGGTGTGGGTGAGAGGGCGCTCAGTCACTAGGGCAGGGAAACTGAAGGTACAGACGCAGTCCCGTGGAGGGACGCACTATAGCTACAGGGTGCTTTCTGCACTTGGTTTCCATGGCTCTTGGCCTCACTGATGGCGCCCAGGAGACAATGTGTGGTGTTAGCTGTAAGAACACAGGCTCTGGATCGGAGACTAGGGTTCAGGTGTGATTGTGGACAAGATCTCTCACTGCCCTGGGCCTCGATTTTCACATCTATAAAATGGGGCTGATAGTACTTGGCTGGCAGGATGGTTGCAAGGATCAAATGTCCAGGTATTTGCAGTCTGGACCATCTGTTGATGAAAACATGCATTTTTACCAATTCTATGTAGCAGAGAGTTTTTTATCTATGGAAACTCAGGCCCAGCGGGCATGGGACCCAGGCCTCCTGATTGCTACCTTCTGCTATCCACGGGTTCTCAAGCCCAGCTGTACAGACCCAGGGTACTTAAAGGAGCCCAAAACCAACCTGAGTCTGACCCTCCCCGACACATTTATTTGGAATCTCCTATTTTGTAACGGCCCCCACTTGAGTCCCATGTACAGCCAGCATCTGCTCCTGGAGCGCGAGGAATCGCCTCCCGTCTCCTTCCCCC